TGTTGAAATCTCGTATCCATTTTACTGTTAATGGTCAGTAATAATTTGTTGTTTTGATCGCTTGCTGATAAAATTAATATGCAAATTTACTAACAAAAGCAATTGGAATTTTAGCTACTTTTGTTTTCATCTATCAGAGTTGAACAAGTTTCACGTAGGGTCAATTTTTAATTCTGCTTGAAGTGAAAGCTGTGGGTTGGTTTTTAGTTCTGGTTTTTTTGTCGTCATCTATTCATGTGTCAATGTTCTCATGTTTTACTTTCATACCGTATTATATTTATATTTGTGCTTTCATTTTTAGGATTTTTCATCTCATTAATTTTATTTTTATTTACTTTTTTATTTAGGTTTTAATAAATTCCAATCAACATTGTTTTCTATCTACTTACGACGTACGATATTCGGAAGGACACCAAGTATTTTATTAATTTTTTCAAATGTCGACGGCCTATCACTGCCCTAATGTTCTTCGAGGCAGTAACTTCTACGGTGGTTCTGTTGGTGATTTACGCGGCCTCTCTTCCCCATTTATTCAGGTGCGATTATTTACTTTAAATTTAATGTGTTTCATTTCTATTTTTAATTGTTTTATTAATTCCTGCTAGAAATTTTGTAGCTTCTTTTAGTTTTCGGTTTATTTTGACGGTTTTTTGAACCACCCGAAGCAAGTTCCTGAAATAAATATGCTCCTTTGAATCGTTTTAAAGTCCTATTTTTCGCGCATTAGTTCATGGGTCTTGGTACGTTGATGTTTCGGTGTTCTACTTTTCTGACATTCATTGCGTCATATTCTAGAAATTTTTCTTCTTGCTTTGAAAATACTTCACTTCTCAAGTCATCTAAAGTAGTTAATTGAGGAGGTTGGTTCCTTAACTTAATTTATTCTGTCTAAGTCTTAGCGACGTATTATTTGAGTTTTTCTCCGTAAAGGTGTTCTTAATTCGCATGATTTTGTTCGCGAAATGGTTGATACGTCCTTCATTCCTTTCTGTTTTTATGGAGAAATTCCAAATACATTCAAATAAGTGTTTTATACTCAATCGATAGCTAATTTTCTGTTACTAGAGTTATTCCTCATTTTTTTACTGAGATTGTTCTTATATATGTTAAAAATGTCTTTTGACTGTACGGCTCATATATTTTTTTTGATTTGCCCTCAGCCATTGATTACTCCATTAACATAGTTTTCTTTTATTTCGGTTAGTTTTTGAAAAATAGTCTTTGCCTTTTCATGTGCTTGAGTTTAGAGACCAGAGATTTGAGTTTATCACTGAGACGATTGCACCTAAAAACTTCAAAAGTCCAGCCATGATTGGCTCTTTTCATTTGAAACCACATTTGTTAATTCGTGTTCAACTTCGAATGGTTGGATCCAGACGTTGACGAATCCTTGTGGATTTGGTTTTAACGCAAATTTGAGGTTTTTAAGATCGCTTCGAATTTTCAGACTTCTTAAAAAATTGATAATAAGCATTACTTAAATTCGTAACTAAAACAACTTTTGCGCACGTCCAGAAATGTCCCCCCTCCTCTCTTAAATTATTTGAATGGGTCATTATCGTCAAGCGAATGTGTAATATCCTAAAATAAAAATATGCACTGACAACCAATTTGCATACCTGAAAGTTTTAAAGCCATTTTCTCCCTTGCGTCTTCGAGTGGGTGCTCCTAATTGATCAAGTTTAAGTGCTATAAATGTAAACATAATTGAGGCCGCTCCAAATAACTTGTTAATGAAGTTATGTGGAGCCTAAGAGTATTCCAACCAGAAATTAGAGCAAATTTCACCCCTGTAATTAATTTATGGCTAATCGAAAATTGAATTTCGACCTTAATCATTGTGTTAATGATCATACTATCCTACTGTTACTATTTAAATATTGCTATAGAGCACTTCAAAATGGACCAAGGGAAGAGGATCCCCATCATCACACCATTAAAACCTCCTTTAGCATGAACAATTCTTTCGCAGACAACTTATTTTTAGATTAGTTATTAAAACAGATCTTCCTAAGTGAGCAAATGGTTATATAAGATGTGGTTTTTATCACGAGATCATTTGATTTTTCATCGTGACATTGTCTTCTATTCGGTCTCTTCTCGTTCTTTCCATAATTGAATTAGAGTCGATCCCAATTCACCATCGGTGCTAATTGATGATAGTTAACCATTTTACTCGGGTCCATACTAGCAGAATCGACAGCATATCACTTTCTCCCACTTGAATATGCCACTTCTTTCATCTTATTACGAGCCTGGTGAGTTAAATTATTGGATTTCAATTATACAAAATGCATATATTTAGTCATGAAATTCTTAACAGTTCCTCCCTAAAAATAATTAAAAAGCCAATTGTCATCTCTACAATACTATTGAAATAATCATCCGTACTTTTTTCCTTATTTATTTTAATTGAATTGAATGCTTTTATTGACGCAAACGGTTCCAAAATTTTATTCTGGAAATTTCTACTTGCTTTCCCCTGACTGAACCGCAAGAATGTTCTTTAATTTAATGCACCGAATTTCTATGTGCTTCCTTCTGACAAGTTTCGAATGTGGTTGATCAAGTGAGTAATTTTCGCGTCATTCGAGCTTAGTCCCAATCACGTTAAAGAGGGAGTTTGTTATTCCATTCCATACGCTATATATGCACTTACACATAAATGAACGTTGAATACATCAATCCTTCATATGACGCAGTTCCCACCTCTACCACAAGGAATAAACTCTCAACTCTAACTATCGCCGTGACTTTTCTATTAATTCTTCTCTTTTTTTCTCGAAATCAAACGGCCTACTTCTTCAATAAGAATGAGCATATATTCTTCAATGTCCAACCTCTAAAATACTATCTGTGCATTTGAACCTATTTCATGATCCTGGTTGGCGAAAAAACTTAGATCTATTTCTGGGAGACTAAATATGCTGATAGATTACTTGGACCTACAATATTCAACTTTGTATCGAACAAAGCTATTTTTTACGGTAAAATTGGCACCTAAGTGCTCATAAATGTCATTTCACATTTCCATTATGTTAGAAACGTCCTTTCTCCAATACGAGAATCTTCACTGCATCCGAAATAAGATGAGAGAAGGCCAATGAATTCGACTTTCTTTCATCCAGGCATTAAGCCAATTGGAATCCCATCTTTATCTCGCCTTGAAGTAGACTGCCATCCTAATGTGTTTTTTCCAAACGTCTGGGTATGGGATTTTCTGATTGCCATGCGATGAACCCTTTTAACTCATTGAAGGGCCATATATTAGTCATTCTAATCACAGGTTATGAGTCAGTAAGCTTCGAGCCCATTTCAAATAATGGCTTTGCGGAATTATGCACTACAGGGCAATCAATGTGTAAATTAATTCATTAAGTGTCCCTCTCTTTGTGACAAATTATGTGAAAACATTCCTAAACTTCCTTTTGGTGAGTGAATGTGAACATTGTAGGCTCTCATTTCGCCATTTGGTGTTTTCACTCCGCGTCAAATCCAGGCAAACAGGAATTTCTTTTATTGATTTCAAATTATTTGTTATTTCTTTGCTCTCTACTTATCGACTGGAGAATGATTGAGCTCCGGTTTCTACCATTCCCCTGTCATTTCATTCAAGCCTAGTGGGTTTAGAAGCTATTTACTTTACCTTATCATTGATCTAACTATTCATCAATCTAATTAACTCTCATCCTCCTTTGTGCTGTAGTTTCACTGGCTTCTCTTCAGGAAAAAATTACTGCAAGTGTTTGCAAGAGACGTAGAGGTATAGTTGCTCTCAGAATTCCCTCTATAGTATGGTGCATTTTGAATATAGTTTCCCAACACCATTTTGTGAGGTTTCTTTCAAATTTTGTCCTTGTATTTCAGTGCGTATTATGGTTACACCACGGATGCATTCATGTCTTTATCAATGTTTGTAGCATTTGAATTCACTGCTAACGTTTATTTGTATGATATTGGTGGGATCTATTTGGACTATTCTATAATGATGTTGACTATTTTCATCACTTGCGGCGAACTCACTACTTATTGGTAGAAATGTAGCATTAATTTGCCTTCCCGTATTCTAAGAGACCTCTTTTATTTTGGCCACCCGGTTCGTCCATATGTGGTTCAAGGAACACTAAGTTTAAATACATTGAAGTAGAAATACGCGTTAGTCTTGAACAGCTTGTTGTGCATAATTGATTAAATTTTGTGGACCATTTAATCTTAATTGGCAGGCTATTATCGCCCTCTACTTGGGTTCTTGTGTTTCTTTGAATAGGGCGTAGGTCAATGTAATGGGGCATTCCTATGCTTGCTTACGTGGAAATTTCAAGAGAAATGCAACTTTACGCCTTTCTTCATACGCTACTTTTTTATGCGTTTCACTCGGTTTCTCGTCTGCATTAAAAAATATCTAGCCTACAGACGTTGATGCCGGGTTGAAAATTCCGGTCTTTCTTTATGTCCTGATAGAATTATATTCATTTCAATTTTGGCTCTGTTGTTTGAATATTTCATCACTTCTGGTCTTTATTTGATGTGGCTTGTGGGAGGGGGTTTCAAACTCCTATCTGATTATAAATATCTCTATTTTCTCCAATAAATTGAAGATATCGGTATCACTTAGGTGCACTTTAATTTATTGCCAATGGAATAAACTCAATTTTCTTTGACATTGCAAATGAAAATTAGGCGTACTATTCGTGCGCTGTATCCATTGTGTTAATCACTAGTATCAGTGCTTTAATTTGATAATATTAGTGGTATCTTCCCATTGTTTTCTTATTACATCTCACAGTACTCGAATTTTACCATCGTCATATCTCCCATAATATTGAAATGATTGGCTATCATTTATTTAGGCTTCGTATACTAACCTTGTTGTTGTAGTTATGACGGTTCAACTGCCATTTGTGGGTTAGGCGTTTACTTACCCTTATACTTGTCTCAAGTGTAAAGGAGCTTTATCTTCATTTTAAGTTCGAGAATGCAGCTGGCTCTATATTTTTAAGATGACAATCGGGGTTTGTTATAATGCATTGATTTATCGTGTTTCATTGATAGAATAGTAAATCACACTTTCTAGTTACAGATTGTTTGAGAAAACATTTTGTACATTTCTTATTCTAGCTGCGCCATGAGTGGCCACTGTTTTACTACAGAATTGTAGCAAGAGTAGTCGACCATTGAATCCTCAATTAACGTCAGGGTAAAAATAACTGCATTAAGGCCAATCCGCGAAAAAAACCACTGTTATAAAATGCTATCAACTCTTATCAGAATAGAAAGTAGGGGTTTTGTATTATCGTTCGCATTGTTGTCCTTCAGTTGCAACGCTCAACAATGCTTTTCAATATCCAATTTTCAAACGTTTTATTTGTTGCGCTAACATCTGGTTCACTTGAATAATTAACAGCACACGATCTTTCTCATAGGGAAGGAACTAATGCTGTTGAATCCTACGTATCGGGGAAGACGTAAATGTCCTTCGTTCGTTCGTTCGTTCATTCATTCATATATTGAAATAAGTTAATAAGCACACACGAAACTATTGCCACATAATTTATTGTGATGGTAGGATCCCATTTATGGTATTCAAAGATGAATTTGACTTTCAATCATCTTACGACCACTTCCCCTCGTTTTTCCACGTCTCGAGAATATTGCCTTGTTAGTAATACTTTCATAGCGTAAATGCACTGAGGCATTTAACTTTGTGTGCAAGTGAAGCTATGTCACCCATCCCCACGTTTTTATCATCTTTATCATGCGTGTAGATGATTATTTGAGGGCCTGAGTGGGTGGGGTGTGACTTCTCTGCATCTATTGTGCAACAGCTACAGCATAGAAAACTCCTTGAGAAGTTAACTAAGCATGAATCTGTGTTCTTAGGCATGCAAAAATCAGAAACGAAGGCTATCATAGCTTTTATTTAAATTTTTTTGGATTAAAAAGGACTGCGGTTGCAAATCTGAAAGAGAGTCGGAACTACGTGCTAAAGATTCAGAAGACTCCAATTGAGAATATATTGTGCCAAAGAGAGGCAATTGACAGCAGGAAGGAAGATTTATTAGGAATATTTTTTCAGTCTTGAATCACCTATATAGGATAACAAACACTGACTGAGCTATCGCTTATCCAACTTGCGGAAACTTTAAGAAAGCACCTTGGAAATACAGATGCCACGGGAGGTTTGTATTAGGTGAATAACTAGGAAATGTTTCCTTCGTTAAGTAGATGACGGCAAATGGAAATGCACTTAAAGTGCGGATGGCGGATTTCAGGACAGATTGATAATTACTATAAAGGATTGGCTGGTACATTTCTTCAGGTAGTTCAAGCCGATTAATCTCATCTTTATTTGATACTTTCTTTGGTCGGCTGAAAATGTATTCGTCCCTTTTGGGCTCTGTCGCTATCGCTATTTGATCTTGTCAGCGCGTAGGTCTTAGCTGATTTAATGTATAGAGGCGGAGAGATGTATCAGATCAGGTCAAACTTTTCGTGTTCGCCCTCTTCCTCCCTCCCTCCCTCCCTCCCTCTCCTCCTCCTCCCAAATATGTTTTTTTCCTTTGGGAAAATTTGTCTTTGCGCACCGGTTTTAGTAACAGCTTTAGTGAATTGAATCGGTACATATACCTCTTATTTTAGTGTGCTTTTATCAAAGCACATAGAATATTCATACACTTAATTTAATTTTATTACACCTTCTTTCTGACGAGTTGTTTTAAAGCAATACAATTTCTATTTGTTGGTAGGTTCTCCATTGGTTCACCTTATTTGTTTTCTGATTAAACTTAGCTGGCTAAAAACCTTCAAAAAGATACTTGAAGAGGTCTTTAATGCCTTATCTTGAGTCCCGTATTAACTAGACAACAAATGCGAGGCAGTGATAGGTCTTCTGTTTATCAAGACGCGGGGATAATGGGGTTAAGGTGACGGGGGGGGGGCGGTAAGAGGGGGGGGGGAGGGTCATATTAAGATAAAAATAATCGAGATTAGACTGATTGAAATCCTCATCAAAACACTACACTTTCTAAATGGGAGTATACTGTGTTAGAAGCCCATTATTTTTTTCCAAACGTGTTTACTAATGGTGTAGCTACTCTTTGCGTCATATTTTAATGATCGAATCTGTCTTTCATCTTAAGGTTATTTTCTGTTGTTCTCTTAATTTTTTTATGATTCACACGTGACCTTTTATTACTCTTCATTGATTCTCTTTCCCTTTTATGCATACATTTTGTCAAACTACAATAGAAGAACCTCATCTAATTCCTCACCTTTTTTTTCTCAGAACCAATTCATTCATTTCATGACATTTCCGGAAAATTTGTGGGGAAATTTGCCTTCGTTGCTGCATGTGAAGTTCGTTGGGCTGTCTAGTACCCTCAAAGTTCTAATCACTTTCAACCCGAATTTCGTTTGCCCTGCGTATAAGTAGGAGCCATAAACGCAGATTAGGGTTGTTGCAATGACTTTTAGAAGAGGGGATGACAGTTACCTTTTGCTCAAAACTTGCCTAAATAAAGAACCAGACTTTTACAAATGACCTAAGTAGAGAATGAGTACACCCTTTTATGGAATACGTGTTTAGGCATAAGTAACGGAGCAAGAAGGGAGAGCTAGTATTGTTGAAGTCCTACGCAGCTCATGTGTCTTTGGCCCCCATTGGAGCGTCTTATTAAGTTCCACCCTTCTTCGGACTCCAGTTGGCTCTTCTTCCTGGTATGGAGCAGGTCCTTATACAAAAGGTGGAACGTGATTGGGTGGTGAAATACTGCAGCCATTCTTATGGTGATTGTCTAATTATGAGCCCAGCCGGCTAATGTAATTAAAATAAATAACAATGAAATACAGTCAAAATACAGGGTTGGGGGTGGGGAGTTCTGAGGAGGTAGAAGAAGATGGGACAGCTTAACTCCCGCATTCTTTTACTGACACTAATAGTTGTGGTTCTAAACATTCTGAAAGCGTTTTCCTGCAAATATTGTTATTATTGTCAAAATATGCAACTTAAAGTACTTTTTTATCGAAAAATAACGAATTGATTTCATCTTTAGTTTATATCGGTGTCAATTTATCTGTTTATATGATGATTTGTTTTGAATTTGAAGTAGTTATCTTTGGTGTCGAATTGTTTTCATCTCGAGGTTGGATCAAAATAACCAATTAACTTCAAAATCTTTCATGAATTCACTTTTTATGCGCATATTTGTTGTGCGAATGTTGATCGGGTTAAACTGGCCGATCGAATTTTACGCGATCTCTGAGGTTGACTAGTTGCGTAGCAACTCAACATGAGTCGGCTTAATCTGTCCTTATTTGTGCGCTGGTGACGTATCGATTAGGCTGCATGTCGTGTCAGGTCATGAGGTCGTTTTAGTCAATTGGAGGGTGGTAGAATGTCTTCACGGGCTTTGACTTTCTCTCAACCGTTCCCAGGAAAGTGCTTTCGAACATGTATCATGGGTATAGGGTTACCACCATAGAGCTGCCCTTGTGGAAAAGACCCTAGCGTCGTTATCCTTTTTGTTGATTTGATTTAATCCAGTTCTGTTATCCATCCTGATCACTGGATGCTCATCTTTGTGCGTCGAAGCGAGAACTTCTAATTCGTTACTCGACTTAGGATAATCATTCTAACCTTCCTATCAACCGTTTAATAAATTTTTATCCTGCCTTCTTTTTCAGGTTCTTGATGAATCCATGTGTGTAATACGAGAGGACATCTGCGATTGGCTCCAGCGTTACGTTTTCAGTGATGCTGATGTTCTCCCTTTGATTGATCCCGCTGATCTTTTAGAACGTCTTAAATCTGGAATCTGGCTAGCCCGACTTGCCTACAAATTGCACTTTAAGGTACATTCAACGTTATTAATTTTATTATTCATATAGCAAAATGAACATGTTTTTTTTCAACTGGGATGAATGTTAAAAACTTTGAAATAGTCTAATACTGGGAATCGGGGTTAGAATTAGTGAATTGAGGCATTCAAAGTAGCACCTCCAAGCTGTCTACATTTTACTTGTTGGCTATAATTCTATTCTTTGGTTGTTGAATGTTAGTTCATGTCTTTGTTTCTGAGATTTGATGGATTTGCGGGTTAACTTTTGAGTGTATGGGCGAATGGTTATATCCTCTGATAGCATTAAGAGCTTCTGTTTTATAAAAGCTTAAATTAATCATTATATGAACAGTGGAATACTCATTCACACTGTTTCTAGTTTAAAGAGGTAGTTAAATGAAAACCACACTCTGAGTTTCCCCAGCGTTCGTTTTTTTCTTATTTATTTTGTATTGTATCATTGGTGACAGTTTAATCTTACTTATGGTTTAATTTTGGTGTCGCCTGGCAAAGTTGAAATTCACTGCCTACTTACCTTGGAAACTAATAAAAAGGTCTATCAAGGTGAAACCTTCGAATGACCATTTTGGTCCTTTAGTACTTTTATCGAACGGTGTGAAGGTTATGACCAAACTTGTTGAATAAATGTTCAGGATATTTACTTTTCTATCAGTAATAGTGACCATTTCACAAATTACTAAACGCGAATAGACTATCGTATTCACTCATCTGGTATTAGATAACAAAATGGTGTCCACCTAACAGCTCTTCTCATCTCCTTCTAATTGATACCGAAAGCTGACTATCAGGATATCTTAGCTAATTTTAAATTCTACCTGTGAAAACTCCAATTAATGTTCTGTTTAGGGGGTGTGCGATAGACTTACCTCCACGTGGTGCACCCTGGGCAACGTATACTCATACGGCAAAAAATTCTATTAACTGGCAGTTGACCTCTGACTTCAAACTTCCATAACCCCACTGTATGTCATATTCGACCCCTTCCACAGTACTCATCTAGCCTTTTCTCTGCCTTTGTGTCTGTTACATTTGTGAATCGCTCTTCTTTCCCTCTGTCGAATTTTTCTCACTTTAATGTTCCTTCATTCTGTGAAGCCCGAAGTCGACTATAGGGCTAATGGTAACTATCAAAATGCCTGCCATTTGAAATAAATAAAATAAATATTCTATTTAGTGGCTAAATAAGGGGCAATCGTTTATTTGTGATTAACATCTGTCGAAATTACTCACTAACAGGTCCTGGCTGAAAATCTCCCCCAATGTTCTCGCGGTGTTAAGGTGACTTCTAAAGAGCACAAGCTCTATGCAAGTCTTCGAGGCACTGGTCCCAGTAGTGCTCTAGGTCAGTTAACTTCAAAGAATCTTCCAGAATTCTCCACAGCCCTAATACGAGCAGCCAGGTCATGTCTATCAGAAAGTGACACTGCAACTGGGGGCTTCGCTCCACCACCAACTATTCAGACCCCATCTCCGGCTAACAGCACAGTTCCTTCGGAGAGCGGCGTTGTTTTGAGGAATCGGTGGACCGCTAGGGGCAATATATCTGAATTTCTGAAGTGGTGTCATGATCTAGGAATATCAGAAACAGTCCTTTTTGAAACCAACGGATTAGGTAAGCATTCTACTATTATCGTACTAAAGTAAGATATTTTCTATTTATACGGATATAACTTTTGCCATTTATCGTCACTATCATTTGGTTGCCTTCATTATAGTAACTTAGTCAGTCTGATAAATCGGTTTAGGGGTCATATGCACGGGAGTAAATTTGACAAGGTTGTAAGGACAGTTTATTAAATATCTATTTTCGGTTGCTGATGGGTTTAAATGTTAGGCCTGCTTGGCTGATGTCCGGGCCGTCATTGCATCCTAAATATAAGGGACGAGCCCTGTACAAGTAAGAAAAGGCATGGAAATAATTGGATTGCATGGATTTGTAATAATGTGATTGATAGTAGCTATTACTATTGTGACGATTTCATTGGACCTCCGATTTGTTATGCCCTCTGTCTCTAAGTCAGTCGGAAGGCACCTAGTCCAGATCGCATCGTAAAATACTTTTTCAATTGTTTGGATTGGTAATCGCTTAAAATTTGAAGACAATCATAATCTTTAAACACCAGTGTTATTCAATAAGTCAGTAATGAAAGGAGTACGATCCTTGACGGCTAGTAATGGAGGTAATCCGTAATAAGAAAGCGGAAATATTTAGCTTTGCCGAAATGGGTATCCACAGATTAAGCTAAGTTATGCTTTATTGAGTCCTGCTGTTATGGCGAGTTATGCTTTCCACTGCTACGTATTGTGCTCATGAATCTTTGACATGCTATACGCTCTGTGAAGAAGAAAAGTGACCAATATAATGAGTGCTACTTTGTGACCAAATACAGGTGTCTGAATGATTCGTTGAGCCCTGCGATATAGATGCGCTTATCAGACGTTTGTTGCTTGCATATTATATGAGGAGTTGAATTCGAATGCCCGTGGAGACACATCAATTCAGTGCACTTCTACATGTATCAAGATTGACCATGGCTAGCCGTTTTACTGGCCATTAGGGTTGCGGGTCGATGAATGTGGCGAGTAAAATTTGAACTTTATGCTTGTGTGCGTGCGCTAATTTTTATGACAGCTTTCGGTCACAAGTCGTGCCAATGATTGGATGACCTTTTATTGCGCTAAGTTCAAGTGCAGTAGATGGAATCATTCTCCTGGCCGGTCCTTATTCTACAACGAGTTTAAATATTTGGGAAAAAATTATTTAAAAATGGCTTTTTAAGACTTGATTTAATCTCTCTCTCTCTGACGAAACTCCACATAATAAGGATAAATGTATTCAATTTTTTTAGATAAAATTAGTTATTTGCTAACTAATCATGAAGACGTGTCTCCAATACGGAGTGGGATTTTGATTAATTCTTTTAAATTACTCTCGTCGGCGAAATCAGGTTTCATAAGATCTGTCCCAGTTGACGCACGCCCAGTGAGCGGATTGGCTCATAGAAGGAGTTACAAAGGTCAAGAAATTTCGAATAAAAATCCATCAGATTGAGAGCAGGTTTCAAATAATTAAGTTTTGGCAATTAGTTCGCATTTCTATTTTATTAACCAGAAATTGAACCTGAATGCCAAGTACAACGTGTTGGGGGAGTAAAGTAGAAATGATTCGGAAGACCTCAGACATGAAGTGTCTCTTGACTAGGTAACGGCTTAACTTATTGTCTGACTTACAATTGTTCCAATAGACGTACATCTGATCCTACTCAAAGAAAGAAGAATCAGCATTTATCTAGGCACTGTTGGCTCTAACATATCAGTTACCACTATGGCTTACTCACTTTAGTTTTCCTTCATGAGGAACTTATTGAATTTAATTGGGAAAATATTATTTTCTCTCATTGGATCTTAAAAGCTTGCTTACTTTTCAGTTAGCAATTACCGAATGGTATTATATCGGTACATCGGAAGAGATCTTAAAAGCCTTTGTCGTTTCAACCACTAAATCGGAGCTGGTAGTTTGCAGATACGATCCTTGTATTCGCTCGTGTCCCACCATCTGTACATGGAAGAGAGAATGATATTTCAGGCCCCTGATAATCATTACTCCCATAAACTTATGATTAACCCTTGCTGCAGTTTCATTGAATCAATCACTAATACTCGCTCCAGATCTTAACTTTACGCTGGTTTAGAGTCAGTTTGTGTCGTGCTAGCTTTGCCTAGATAAGAACGGATTGGCTATTTGGAATTTTCGCTTAGTTATGCTTGTCTTATACTATTTCCAGGAGTACGATTACGCAAGCATGAGTAAGACCCTCTTTTTGGGTGTGTTATAGCAACGGGGAAAGGCTTATTTTGAGCGGTTAGGCGTTATTGGTGACCAGTACTATTAGTGCCTACGCCTTAGTAACCGATTCTAACATTGACAGCTATTCAAAATAGCATATCGATATAATCAACAGTGAAGTGTACACAAGTTATTAATACACAACTATGAATACCAAGCGATCTCTATTTCCAATAGTCGATTTTCTTGAGAAGCCTCTATCATATGTGCCTGAGACTGCTCAGTGTTATATAAAATCCTTATTTGCAATGCTAGGACATTTTATGGTATTTGGATAAACCGTTGTCCATAACTCTAAGTACACAATTTAAGGAAATCGCTAAAGGATTTGGTTCATAGATCACCTGGGGAAAAACGATTCCGTTGTTAAGCTAAAAGACACCGCCTTCTTTTTAGCTCATACTCGCATACAGTCAAAAGTATTGAAATTTTTACTTTTTTTTGCTTAAATTCTCCTACAGGGGAGATTGGTGCCTCTAAATACCAGAATCAACATTACCGGCTATTTTAGCCTTGATACTCCGATCACATCGAAGACTTCCTTGACATCTTTATTATTTTAGCCTTGTCATAACTTAATGCAGGCTTTCTTCCTAGTTTTGTTCATTACACAATATCGTGCTTGAATTCGCTAGTTTTAATTGGTTTTCCCTCCGACTACTTCTGTCCCGTTGAATCGCTGCAATTCTTTATGCAAAATTATTTGATTACGCATATACAGTGGTTCCTAGCTAATTCAAAATCTTAATTTAAGCTCTCAATTTTTTTGTCATACAATTCTCTTTGTGTCCTACAAAGTGCAGCACTTGGTATCGCCGCTTGGTGCCGAGTGTTCTATCAACACAAATGGCTCAATATAAGTAAAGTATGGGGTATTTAGAGGGCTTTCATTAAAATTCGAATTACCATTTGCTTATTTCTTCAAAAATTCTTATAGTTTGTGCTAATCGCATTTAATTCATATGTGCTTCCCAATTCTCTGTCAATTTATTTAATAATCCATTTAATGGGTAATCTTATGTTCTATCAATCTTGATTATCAATTGAGCTATAAATTAGTTATATTTAATAGCCCTGCTAAAATATAGCTTGTGATTATATTTTCTCTTCAGATCAGAATTACTGAATACAAACTTTCGCTTAGCCTGGAACTGGTATTTGGCCGATTGCTTTTACAGAATTTGATCCCTAACAGTACCCCTCAGTAATACGGAAGAATCACGAGTTTTAACTGCAGGAAGTGGCTGAAATCGGTTAATAGGAGGTTCAACAAATGGCGAAGATGAGATGGGGTTGTCAGATTGGGAAAAGATGTTGAAAGTAAAGTCCAAATACATCGGAAGCCTACTTCATTTACGGTCAACTTTCATGATTCGTCTCTTTCATTGCAGAAAATGCCTGTCTGCAATGTTTATTGCTTGCTTAGCGTTTTTGTAATTAATAAGGGTCGGTATTTGTCGCATTGGCACATTTTCTTCCAATCTTTGAAGGATGTGGGGGTGGGGCGGGGGGGGGGGGGGGGGGGGGGGGGCGATCTTACGTGATATTCTGCAGATTACAGTTATAGTAGTGCAGAGGTTAGAGTCAACAGAGTTCCGTAATCTGTGCTAACGACAATCTAAATGGAAGAATTGAAAGAATTTTAACATTTACAGGCAAGTTTTTTATTGAATACTTTTGCTATGATAATACAAAAAATGTGGCTAATTAGCGTTTGAATATATAAAGTTTACAAGGCAATTAAATTAATTCTCTACGGATGACTGGATATGAGAGAACAATAAAGTCATGATGTCAAGCACTTGACTTTATTTGACATCTTGGCGTACTGAGTTGTTAACTTTCCTGCAAGTGCTGTAATTCACTTTGTATGTTTAAGTTTTCACAACTTGATCTCGATATTTCACTTCCTCGATATTCAGAGCGTATGCACCAGTCATTGCACTTGAGTATGTGAAATTTCAAAAGTAAAATTTCGAACACATCTGTGCATTCAATGTTAATCTCGATCCTTCTATGTTATGAGCTATCTACGCCTCACACATCTAAATATGTCAGACGATCTAGCATTAACCTGGTTAAATGATCATTACATTTCTAGTGGATATCATCTGCTAATTTTTCTACTCTCATTTATGAATCATATTTAGGAGTATTGAAATTGGGCAGAAGATCCCACATTTCAAATTTCTAGTTTCACTGAAAAATGGAAATGCTTTTTTCATATACTCAAATCGATTATGAGGAAGCAGTTGGCTTATGTAGCAATTTATTTAATTTGCACTTTTAGGGGGATGGAACTTAATATCGTTTGAGTATTCATAAGGCAATATATATTCTTTAAAGTTCTTGGTTCAAGGACTTGGCGCGATAGCCATGTTCGTCAGCGAACTCGGAGCTTCTTCAGTTTTCACATCAGTAATCAGAATGCCCAGTTGCTCTAGCTCCTCAGCAGGGAAGACAAGATGAGTGTTGTCGGAAACGCGTTCCTAAATGGCCTTGAGAATTATTCATTTGAGCACAGTCCTTTGTGAGAGTGAAATCCTCACTGCGGCTGTGCTAGGCTTTGCTAGGGCATTGCGCAATTAAAGCCTTGCAACCTTAACGGTCAAGGTGAGAGCTTGGTAGGTGGTAGGTGGCTCTACAGCGCTTAACGTAAATGTTTCCATGAGAACTTCAACAAATTATAACGATTTGTTCGATTTTTGTGCTAATGACCGGATTGCTCTTCAATGAATCTTGACCAATTAAGGCCTTTTGCGGCTTATCAGTTCGTTTGTTATTTTTTGCTATACACCTTTTTCAGCTGTTAAATGTCAACTAAACTTAGCTGTGAAATACGATTTGTGCTTTCGTAGCCCTGTCGTACCGAAGGAGATGCCGATCGGTTTGATTTGAATGCAGACATGCTATGAGAAGTTCATTGAAGAGACTCATTTCAGAGCACTAATTTTGTTTTAAATGATATTTTGGCATTTCTTTAATAGTATAATCGCGTTCTAGTCAGTGACTTGATGAGGAGGATATACCAGGTCCAAAATGCTTTCAGAGAATACATTTTTCGATTAGACGATGGTAACCTTCTTGATTAGCATAAGAAAACTGTAATACCCCTCTCAAGCAAGCAGTATTTTTATTTAAAAAAGAGTGCGCAAATGTGCCACAATTTCAATTTGCTACCTGTTAAACCTCATAACCCACACCGGTGTTAAATTTGGCCTTACTATGAATAAGCAACCATTTTTTACTTATTTTGTTGTTACTTTAGGTGATGAAATTTTAGAAATTTTACTTAATTTGCAGCCATGCCTCTCACATTGTTGGCATTATGGGCATCTAAATTGATAGGTATACGTAAACAATTCATTCTATCCTGAGCAATAGGGTTTCACTAAGCTATGCTATACAGAATGTAAGGTTAATCGCTGACAGCAGACTGCGTCTGTATAGTTTATCAATTACCAATACGTCTGATATGGCTTCAAATGCACCATATGTACCCCGATTAAGCGGGTTTAATGGCGTTCATTAACCGAAACCTCAATTTTGCCTTTAGTTAATAAATGGAATAAAGATTTCTTATAGCCCTCCATAATTCCGTATCAAAATCACATGATTTTCTAAACACCATCACATGGTGGTCACCTCTTTGCACTTGCTCATTTTGTACTAGATTTAATCGAAAAAATTCCAGAAACAAAATATTCCAAGTGACGATTTTGTGTATAATTTAGTGAAGTTCTCATTGCTAGTGTTACGTTAATTAAATTCCAGAAGCCCTTATTTCGAGACCGGAGTTCTACCACATATATATATATATATATATATATATATATATATATATATCATTTTCGCTTGCTTAATTTTGGTAAGTGGAATAGAACTCCTTTCAGTTACCACTACTATGAGTTTGCTCAGCAATCAAATTAGGAAGGCTTTTAAATTTCGTTTACTGAAATGATGCATCAACTTCAAAAGAGGCACATTCAAGAATTGGCATTGGAGCTTACAATATTTGAAGGTGCACTATTCCTTTCCTTCGTATAACCGAGTTAATTACAATACCAAGAAACCTTTCACGCATTCAAGCTATAGTTTGCGAGAGAATGAGACTGGACATGTCTATGTAGGAGATTTTTTCATTTAATATACAGCCTTGTAAATTTGATTTGCCACGTATGTAATGCTAAGCCCCTAACTTCATTAAACTGGTTCTACTAAGTGACTCAAAAGAATTTGGTTGAGATAAGCCAGATGTGTCATTGAGTCATCAAAGATTAGCTTTAGAAAAGCAGATTGAAGGTCAACGCACTACAGTCCATGCTGTTCTGTCCAGATGTCCAGATGATGGCAATCTTACCCACTATGGTATTTAAAGTGCCTACTCCGAAATTACGAATTTTTTTAGGCTTATATCTTTTGGATGCCTGTGATTTTTGAATTTATGGATAAATACGTTTAATGTGGGTAAATTAGTTTTCTTCGAGTCAATCATATGAAAATTCATAAAATGTGTCTTCACATGTTATAACAAAAGTTACCTAGTCCAGAACTAGAAGTGGTTTTAAGTTCAATCGAGTACATTGCTACTTCATATACTTTTTGTTAATTTAGTATTCAGAACTGAAGAAAAAAATGTGCTTCTAACCCTAATGGATCTAGCACGTTTGGCGAGTAGATTTGGACTCTGTGAGTTGCCTGAGCTCGTCCGCATGGAAAAAGAAATCGAAGCTTTGGAGGCTGCAGCAGCTGCTTCTAATGCAAACGCTACAACGCGAAATCCCACCGCAACTGGTTCAATGACTTCTTATAACCCCAAAGTGGACATTGGCGTCTACGTGGCCCGTTTAGCCGATCGGAAAGCAAGTGATTGCAGTCCCGAAAGGTCTTCAGTGTCCTCAGACGTAGATGTGCCATCCACTTCATCTAGCATTGGCTCGGGTGTGAGTTCTGATCCGGTTGTACGCTACTGTTCTAGTGCTACCTTCACAACCACGAGAGTGATTCTTACCGACTTGGAAGATGAAGGGAAATCATCAGAGGCTCGAAATAAAATTGACTCATCTACTGATGTGAATACGTCCGATTCCGGTTAGTAAAAATACATTCTACTAACAACTTAGAGTAGTAAGTTATTTTAATGTTTTTTGTCTCCATTATTTAGCTGCTGATGCTTTTTGTCAGACCCTTACAAACAACCCCGAAATGATTTCCTCATGTACAAATGCAGAGAATAATCGTGACAATAGTTCATCTACCTCTGTTGAAACTGACAAAAATGCGAATGTTACTGATGATTCAGTGATGGCTTCTCTGCCACCTCGAAAAATTCAACATGTGTCAACATCCAATATAAAACCTCGTGCGGCTGCCTCGAAACTTCCTGTTCATCAGAGTCGAGTTTCTGGGAATAAGAGTGCCAGTAATGGAATTACTAAGGTGGAGGTTGCGAAACGTTCAACTTCCGCTGCTGATCTCCGAGAACTGTCAAAATCACGTGTCAAGAGACGCAACATTAGACAGGATAAGGGAGATCTGGTTTCTAACGAAGGTGCGTTTAGTACTATGCTTTATTTCTAAAGTTCAAATTTTAAGGTTAGATTTACTTTTAATTATTTTTAAATAGGCGGGTCGATAATTTTTTTACATTGCATCTTGCTCGCGTCACTCTAGTTGTTGCTTAAGCAATATTATGGTCTCCTTTTTTCAAATACCAGAGTATTTAAACATGAGTTAATAAATGGGGTAGCAAGAGTTTTATTTGTTTTTTTTTATTCCTGCCCTTTATCTACTAGAATTCAGTAGGGTAGGATATTTAATACCTCTTCCCATTTGTAGAACATTCTTTGAAGAATCAAGACGTATCTGTATCGATCAAGGCCAAAATAACAACAGATCAGAACACTCAAATTTCTTCTATGCAACTTCGATCCCCGCTTGCTGATCACAATCAAATGACTCAAATTCCCAAACCCCTATCGACCTCTTCAACTTCATCCAAACATTCGTCTTCGGGTTTCGTCAGCCACGCCTCCTCGTGCTCCGATCTAGCTGCTGAAGTGAGCTTTAAAAAGTTTACCTAATGTGATGCAAGTTTCTATTCGCGAGTGCCGAAGATTCTTGCTTAATGAACTTAGGGAATCACAGCATTGTCGTGTTTGTTTTGAACTCGGCTCCTTGGCAATGTAGTAGTCAGTTCTATTTGTTATTAGATCGATTTTTTTCTTACAATAATATCCGCACTTTTATTAAAAGTCAAATTAATAGAATGTGGCCTGGAACCAATATCTTAAATTGAACTTTTACTTCTAAAGTGTTCCTATCGCGTTTTGGATCTTTTAGTGTGCGTATTGTACTCCCACCTATTGATTACTGAATTCTAGTGGATAAAAGTGTATTCAGTATATACTCTCAGCTCCATTTCGTCCAACAAGTGAGCCATTCATTCTCACGGTTCGTTTAATAGAAAAATAATATTTTCCTCTTATGAATTGTCCTCTACGTTCTCTCCTTTAGCTTGTTGTCTAAGTCACAACGACGTGATAAGTTTTGGTGGTATCAGGCGAACACTATAGAGACGCATTGAACATATTTTTAAATGGCAATAGTGCCTCCTGTGTTACGAGTCTAGTACCAATGGAGCTTGTTCTGAAAGAGGATCATACGGTCCTAAGGGCTTTAAAGGGTTAAGTAATTAATGGGTTTCCGATCAGGATGAAGTGCATTGATTGTAAATGTGTGTATAGAATGTTGCACGTAGGCGCGCAGTTAATTAAGATTATCAACCTCCTATTTATTGGGTGACATCATCATTTGACCAATTTTATTTGTGCACCTTCGCAGGTTTTAAAAGTTAAATATTGTGATAAGATGAAATTAGTGAATTGGAGTTGGTCGATAGGGAAATCTTATTAAAATCCGACAGAGCGCACATACCATAAGGTTATTGTTTAAAAATTTGAATCTGAGTTTGCCTAAATTGACTGGAATCCCCCGACTTTCAGCTTTGCTTCATTGTTCTTTGCAGTTGTTGCATCGGGCTGAGTATTTGAAGATCCATTGGCATCCTTGCACTTGAGCAACTGGTTTCGGAACTTTACATTACATTAATGTTCTAACACGCCTTTAAAATGCATGTATCAAAGTATCGCTTTAAGGAACTAGTTTTCAATCAATCAATTTGGCGTTCAAGAAACGCATTAACTGCAATAATTAAATAAAAGGTACTACCATTATCATAATTGATCAAGTGCATATGGCCGTATGCATGTGTGCTAGCCCAGGTTCTTATTGCCTTTGATGTATCACAGGGGTTCAATTACCTCATGCTATATGTGATTAAATAGGATATATCCATAATGTATATGCGTGTAATCCCATAAAAGCTGTGCATTACTAGGCTGTAATAAAACATTAGGAAGGCGAGAGGGTGGGATACTTTCTCCCGGCTGGGGCGGGGGGGGGGGAGGGGGCGGGAGNTTTTCCCCGGGTGGGGGGGGGGGGGGCAAGAGAGAGCGAGAGAGAAAACACGATTTTTATCTCTGTTGTAAGCGATCCACCTTTTATAGTTCTCGGCTAACCTGTCAGATGGTTCTAAATGTCAACCTTCTCTTGTTGTGTCAAGGCTTGGAATATATCGCTCCGAAGTGCTCGCGGCTACAAGTATCTTTTGCCTGCAGGTTATTTTGTATTTAAAGAAGAGTACATTTGTAAAGGCAAGATTTTTTGTCAAATCGAGGATATTCCTGCTCAAGAGGGGGGTGGGGGGGGGGGGGGGGGGGGGAATAACTTGTTTTGATTTTGATTTAGAGTATTTAATATAAATGCATAAGCTGTGACGCTCATCTGGTCATATTATGTCCAGTCTTTTTTTATGGAGTAGAATTGAAAATTGAATAACAAATGACCCGCTCCAAATTCCTCTGTGATTCGATGGTGCTGCGGCATGTAAGCTCTCTCAAACTACCTAGATACGAAGTGTACTTTTGATTATGCAATTGTCAATTATTTTCTGGTAAGGTGCACAGTTTAAGTGCTTTTGGCGGATTCATGAAGCAGTGCCATAGTAACTGTTTCAATTTACAGATTTAGACCTCATGGAAGCTGGTGTTATATCTCCTTGTAAAATAATAAAATGACCCCTTTAATCTCCTCTAAGTATATTTTGCTCTTTATCATTATGCCAATCAAAATGATTTCAAAGTGCCTAGATTGAATATGCATAGCAATTATTGATATTCAATTCTTCCTGCCTTCTCTGAAGGCCCATCTAACCTGCCTGGTTGTATGCACACCCCAGATTTATACATCTTTACTCGAAAGCTTCTCTCCAGATATCGTCACTCTGTTTTACTCTAAACTCTGCTTTCCACTCAAATTTGACGTTAGCTACTCTGATGATTTTTTGTTTCAGGAGGACACCGTACCCAATTAGAAAAGAGCTCGTATCAACCTGACTTCTCTATTGCTTACAGCATAATGCCTGAATCCTGTTTTAATAAAGTTAAGCTTATGACTGTATTTTTCTTGTAGAATCATCTTCATGTACATTGGAATGTCATAATCACCATTGAACACGTCCATGTCCCTGCCGTATGCGCGCAATTATCTTAGTAAAACTTCTAACCTCTAAAACTGACTTTAGTCGTCAAATAGTCGTTAGAGACATTAAACGCTTCGAGGTGGCGTCGGTGACAAGCGCTATCTTGTTTTCTACAAAGAATCTAGTCAATTAGTAGTTCTTAATGCCATTTATTTAGTTAGGTTAGTTAACCCTACTGATTATTCTAAGCGGAAGTAGGTTTATTTATGGCCTTATTTAGTCGTTCGATTTTAGCATAAAACGGACAATGCAACTTTGACTAAAATGTGTACTAAACATTTAGACAACCAAAAATAATGGATCTTTTACTGTGAGAGGGTTTCAAGTATAAGAAGTGGAAGTTCGTATCATTGGCACACATGCTTTATCGGAGTTCATTTCTTCCCATCTCCATGTTCTGAAACTTTACTTCTTGTCGTTGAAACTTGAGTCCAAGCGAGATAGAGTACTATTCACCTTTTCTCCAGGATGTGTAGGTCTACCAATCATTCAATCGCTTCCCTAGATCCCACAATTTGTTTGTTCTTGTACTTTCTCTGGGTTTATTTCAGTTTCCAATGAATTTCCGGTCTTATGAGAGATTTTTGTCTTCTAAGTAGAGACTAGGTTAAAGTTGTAGATTGTGGTTTTAAAAACTATAAGAAATCATACTAGTAAACCTTGGATTGATATGGAGCTATCGTATGATTAGTGAAATGATCTCATGCCTAATAAATGGTTCATATCTACAGATTTATTGGATCTGTCCTTTGTATTTGCTTCCGTTTTATCTACCAATCCTGAATATTTATTTATTTATATCAAATGGCAGGCGTTTTGATTGTTATCATTAGCCCTTTAGTTGACTTCAGTCTTCACAGAGGGGAAGGAACATCAAAGTGTAAAAAATTCAAGAGGGAGGGGGGATGGAACAGAAGAGTGTATCAAAGACGAAGGTAGATAAGGTGGAAAAAAGGTGGGATGAGTACTGTGAAAGTAGTCGAATATGACATACATTGGGGTCATGGTAGTTTGAAGTCAACTGCCCATTGATGGAATTTTTGCCGTATGAGTATACGTTGCCCAGGGTGCACCACGTGGAGGTAAGTCTATCGCACACCCCACCAATCCTGAATATCAAACCTCATAAAATTACGATGACAGGTTTCCGAGGAGGGGGGGGGGGGGGGGGGGGGGGNGGGGGGGGCATTATTACGAGGGTAATCTAATTAACTCAACCTCAAACCTTTTCATCTATTTTCCCCTCATTTGCCATAATTTCTTTCCAGTCGGTTGGATTGTTGTTTTTTGTTGGGTGTTTAGGTTTGCTCTGTTTTGATAATTGGAAAAAGAGGGAATATAACCCCCCCCCCCATCCCCATCCCCATCCTTATTTTGAGGAATGGGAAGAGGTTTTTTTTCGCAGTGCTAACATTAATTATTTAGTGGTAGGAGGTTTCCACTAAAAGTAATAATCATGTAGCGCGTTGCGTTGGTTGCATTCGCGATGCTATCGATGCATTTTTAAGTATTGGACGAACTCAAATTTAGAGGCGTCGGTCTTATGAATGCATTTCAGTAAATGGATTGTAATTTCCCACTGATAGAAGTATTTGGCCGATTTGCAACAACAAGATTATTAAAGTTTGTACATTGAATTTGGTGCACCTGTGGTGTCACTCCAGAGAGCAAAGTTTTGGTAATGCATGTTAGTACAGACCACATAGTCTATTATAATGCGTCAGGGTAAAAGCACACATTTTTTCATCAGAAATAGCAAGAATAGTCCAATTTTGAATTTAGCGGGTGGGAAATGATACAGTCAGTTTGTCTATTGGAATTCGGAGCTCATTGAGCTAACAGCTTTCTCACATGTTCACAATCTCAATCTTCATGGTTTGATGTCTGCATTCGCGGGCGTGATTGTGCTCAAAATAGTTGCAACATATTAACCAATTGAACCCAATTAATCAGGACATTTCGGTGGATTCGTTTCTTTTTGCACCAACGAGACTGATTGGCGTCCACTCGAGGTGGATTATGACAATCGAATCAGTTAAATAAGTGCTTGACAAGGAGATTGCAAAGCGCGGGTTTTTTGTGTCAGATGAGCTCAAAGATGCCAGTAAATAATTACATTAGTAGGTTTGATAATTGGATTAAACATTCTATACAAGCGTGCAGTTCAAATAGGCTACTCTCATATTAATTAACCAATGCCATGTTCACTCGCTTGTATCTTTTTCTTACTATCTTACTTCATCTACCTTACGGTGAGCTTACCTTTTTATGTGGTAGTTTTAATTTAATTAATTAATTTTAATTATTTAAATGAAATTTTGATAACCAATATGTATCACACCGGCTTGATGTGACATTTTCGTGCTTGATTAATTTATCTGACATCATGAAATCGAATTCTGTGAGTAAGGTAGTGGCACTTAGTATGGATGTTATGATGTGACAGCAAAAATGGACACGAAACAGTCGTATCCCTAGTAGTTGTATAATCAACTTCCTTCAAATACACAATTTTTCGGATATAAGATTTTATGTTTGTAAAAGTATTCCTGTACTTTAATTTGAACACCTGTATTAAGTGCTCTCTACCCCGTCTTCTAGACGTAACCTTACACTGCCTGTCTCTTGAACTTGAATATAAATCAGTGAAGTACTTTTTTCAAAACCGTTTTTCCTATACAAGTTGCCTACTTATATAGTGACCACACCAGATTGGTCACATAACATTTTGATCACTGCATAACAACACTGTAGTTAGAACATCATCTGGTTTTTCTAATGCACTGTAAACTAAAACAGCCTTCCTAATGTGGTTTCTTTACTTTTCCTAGGTCCGAAAGCAGACAGCGCAATGCACTTGCTGTAGTCGAAATCGTCTTGTTCGACTCGATGAGGGTCGTTATCAAATGGGCAACCGGATCTACTACCTTCGTCGTTTTCGCTCTCATGTAATGGTTCGAGTAGGAGGTGGCTGGTTAACCCTGGCCCAGTTCCTAGATCGATACGATCCATGTCGTCAAAAGGACGGTGAATTCCACACTCTCGCATCCTCGCATTCCAACTTAACCGGCAATATAATTGATCGCGGAAATGTTGTGCGAATATCTGCCTCTAAAATCCTGAAGGAATGGCCTTCAACGGATCTAGCAGTGAAGGAGAATTGCTGTAGATGATCAATGTCTATGTTTCCTATGACTTTACACCCTCACCCTCCCCTCCCCCTTCCCTATCTGTGATAAAATGCTTGGATTTGAGTTCTCTTCCTTCCTCTTTTAAGCCTTTGACTCAGGATTTGTGATGATTTTACATGCGTATCTTCTTACTCCGTGTGCTTGGTAATTACTGAGAGAGATTGCGAATAAAGAAATACTATATCCCGGTTTTTGCTTATGCAATACTGAAAATTTTTTGGTCGGTTGCAATTAGTTTGCAGCAACATAATTGCCAAGTTCCCTTCTGGAGTTGGGTTAGATGCGCGTATTTTCCTGCTCTGAATGCGCCACATCTTGTTGCAGTGCAGGAAAGTTAGGTGCATAGGAGATGTCGCAAGAATAATCACAAATTATAATTTCTAGTTTCCACTTGAATTGAGTTTGTCCAATTGCCAAGCTAGTGTTTATCTTGTATTGGGGCTGCACTGTGGCTAATAATGCCTACCTACGCTCTGTTGGTATCTTGGCCATTGAGAAGAAAGTGTCATACAACCAACTAGCCATCCCATTCAATTAGTTGCTTGGGTGACCCCGGACATTGGAATATAAAGTAATGAACTTTACCTTATAGGTAAAGGTTTGAACCTGAACTTATTTCGATTATGCAATGGCAATGAGAGTAATGTAAAATGATGCTTTTACATAGGATTACCGTTCAGAGAAGAGGTGAGATTGGGTAGTTGGGGTTTAAGGCTATTCCGATCTCCGTATGAGGGGACGAATTGTGACCAGTTTTCACCGCCGTGACAATCGATAATGGATGCCACGCAAGAAGTCGCTTAGCCACCATTGTTTCATTTAAGCAGATCATTTCCCAATTGCTTCCTCGAATTTCTTATTCATTGAGACTATTCCACTTCTTATGTGATTCGAATGCTGTCAATGGAGAACAGAGAGTATCAGTCAGCTTAATATTGCTTCAAAAGTACGACTCAGATGTGCAATCTAATAAATCATTCATTAAATGCCGTGATTATTACTCATGGGTAATAATAATTGATTCTTTTTTTCTTTTATTTCTTCATATCGTGATATGACTGATGTGATAAATCCTGCTTGAACCCATCTTCATTTGCATTTTTCAGTCTTGAAAGGCCTCCTGGCGATTCCGATTTCGACCTCCCACAACTAGAAAAAAACAGGGTGGTTATGCAAATTTTTTGATTCCACATTATCCCTTTAACGCCCGAATTATTTTTGAAAGCAAGCATACAATCGTACTCACGCGTGCCTCAAAGCAGACTGATGCCGCCGATGTGATGAGTTTGGTGGAATCAGACAAAGGCTGTAGACGTATCGAACATGTTTCCAACGCCAATAGCGCCTTCTGTGTTGCGAGTCTAGTACCAATGGAGCTTATTTGAAAGAGGCCCTGCAAGGCGTTAAAGAGCTAAATTTGAGATTATTCAAGCAATCTTGAATATGCAGGTTTGCAGAAAAAAACCTTGAGTCAAATGAATTGGATATTATTACTTCTCATGCTGCCAAAGGAGGGCTTCCAATCTCGTGATCAACACACGAGTGAACTCATATGGAATGATAGATGAACATCATCTACAGTCAGTTGATAAACGGATAGGAGAAAAAGGATTTGATTTTTCAAAGTATTAATAATTTGTAAAGGATGGTGTAATTTTGTCCAATGATCTTGTACTCACTAGTTAATGCACGTTAGGAATTATTATCATTGTTTCTAGGTATTTGCCGGATTTATTAGTTTGATTCGTGTTGAGCTTCTAAATAACGATGGTTAAAGCGCCAATGATACTTGTGAGTTTTGGATATTTCTACAAATATAATTATAATTCTCATCGGGGTGGTTCACTGAGGGATTAGGACCGCTACCTTGGAAGTCTTAAACACAGATCACTTTCATTTAAATCTGATCGCCCACACATCGTATTTTGAATTGAAAAAGGAAATAGTCTTTGTAAAGAAAGGCTTACGGATTTTACTAACAGGAAAGCATTCGAAACCGAGTTGAAATAAAATCTCAATTAAAGGCGTGTATAAATACTTTGGTTACATCAGGGTTCCTCCAGATTAAATTCATCCTGACGCCTGATTTTCTTTTCACCATACAACAAGCATAGCATAGGGGGATATCACGCTGCTAATAATATTTAAATTTTCAATAAATAAGTAATCCATTTAATAGCATTGTACTCCAAAGTTTATACCCTATTTTAGTCTCTTGACTTCAAATTCTACTGGCCGATTGATTATAGTTGATGCTTGGTCGTGCGTCTCAACCAATTAGATTGTTCCCTCACTTCGAAAACTTTTTAATGGCACGTGAAATTTTTTCTCAATATTTCACTACGAATTAATGGTGGGGAAAATTTTCAAAATAGCCTTAATCAATAACTACTGCTCTACGTTGAAGAACCTCACAAAAAATCACATTTTGAACGTTAGAAGTAAGGCATGGCTCAAAATATAGCCAGAACAAGCAAAATTCATACTTTATATTCATTAAAAAAGAAATATTCTTAAAATTTCTTGAGGAGACTAAAATATATTAGACTAATCCAGTTTAGACATGGGCATTATTGAGTGAAAGCAATAAATAGGAAAAATCCAAAAAGTCTCGCTTTTACTGTGAGTGATATGATATATAATCTAATCACAAATTCGGGCACATTTTTACATGTAGCCACGTGTCAATACTGGTTTTGGATAGACGTCACAGTTTGTAATGAACGCATAGATATCGGGGGAGATACAACCGTGACAACATCGTCCCACGTTACGGCCATAAAAATTTACTCATGGTCCTAGCATCTCTTGAATACTACGTGTCGATCGGATATAACTGATGTCTAACGTAGAAACGTTTGCACTCTGAGCTTAGTATTTTAGTAATTAGTTTGATTGACTTGTTTGGTCAACTCCAACTGTTCTATCTACATGAATGGGTTTATATCCTCCGGTGTGAACAGCACTTTATCAACTTTGAAATTGGAAAAGCGTTAATGTTTTCTTCAATTAAAACTTCCTATTATACATCTCACGCATTTCTGACAACAAATAGCTCGATGAATTGGGGTTCGAGAGGTTTTCATTCAGTTTTAAGCCATTTTAGCAAAGTAAGTGACTTGAAACATTTAATTAATGAACGGACAAATCCTCGTCTGTCTTTCTTGTTGTGATATACCAGCCATTTCTGGAATCAAAAAGTATAATTCTTTGAAATAAGATATAATTGGGGTGTGTTTACGCGCAAATTTGAATAGAGAGCATAGAGAAAATGAAAGTGCCTCATCTTTTAAATTTTTAAGAATTATTTATATATTTCCCATATTCGAATGTGAAGATTCACTTGCACTTATCAGTCATTTTCTTTACGACTCCCATTTTCCATGAAGCTGTCAAAAAATGGGTTGATATTGTGAAGCGCACGGCACCTTTATGACTGAACAAAGGTCTCGCACGCGCTTTCAGGCAGGCTCGAAGGTGCGCGTTGAGAGAAAGTGCGGCGGTGAGTGTAGAGACCTCCCAGACAAGGGTTAATCAATAGTTCGTTCATTGTTTAACAAACCTTCATTATATTGCAACGATCAGGCTCCTTGTCTGCAATACATGACCCAAATAAGCGTATCCCACGGCAGGTCTCCGCCTATAAACTTTCTCATGGGGGGATATCTGACGTAAATGATAAATTATATAAATATAAATAACTAAATAAATAAATTTATTGCGGTTATCAGATGTATTCGAGTATGAACACGTAAGCACATTTTGAGCTAAAACAGGAGGCATTGTTCATCCACTTCTGCGGAGTTTCCCTTTAATTTCAGCTTATTTTTTTCGCAGAGGAAAGTCTGATCAAACCATAACATGGAGATGAATAAAACCCCTAATCTTGACGTAATTTACTCAAATCGAAAAAATGGAACACGCACGTGGGTAAAAAATCGTTACAGGCCTTCAATAAAAATAAATGTTTATTCATCTTTCAAATCCACTGTTAATCAAAGATCATTTCATCCGCAGATGGGATAATATTTTCAAACTTACATTCTTGAGTGGATAATTTGTGATTTTATGGAACATATAAAATTGTGGATTTCTCACCTACTTTCGCTATTCATGGTGCTTCCTGCATTATAAATCAAATTGACAGCGGTAAAATTTCTAAGGAATATATATTAGTCCTCATGTTGGTTTCAATGCTATATTTATAGACATTTAAGAAAACTGACTGTGAAACGGCATTGCGCGAGATTTATTCTCTGACTGGAAAAGAAGCATTCTCAGACTGCTCAATGCCGCAGATAGCAAGAAAATCCATTTATCAAATGAAAAGTATTCGAGGATCTATCCACTTCGCCGAAAAAAATTGGATTCAGTTAAGAAGTACAGATTTCGATGTACAAATTTACCATTTATTTCAAGATTCAGTGATTCAAAAGAACAAGGTTCTACCGATTTCCTACATTGTACTGCCTCAGTATGGATACTGTCTCTTGAAAAGAAATATTGTTAATTTTATTTAATATTACTTCTTATCTACATTGTTAATTATTTCACCATGGCTCCAAGTTGCAAAATTCCCTTGGACTCCAATTGGTAATCAATAATGAATGAGCATGGGCTCTAAACACAGTGTAAACCTTCTGAAATAACTATTCTGATTTTAGTGTGTCCTAAAATTGTGAGGTACCCTTGACACTGTTCACCCATAGACGCAAATGTTGGCGCTAAATTCCAAGAAAAAAAGCGGATTGTTCGCCAAAAGTGGTATATCCATTTGCTAAATCAAATAAAAGGTCATCCATTGGCACGAATTCGAATGCTTAAACATCTCTCATGCGAATGAGAATTCATTGATAGTCGCTGTCCAGTTTAATGAAAATTGTGCAGACTGGACCAGACGTATTCACTCTTCTAGTGTTTTCGCGTCTCAAATAAGTTAATATTATGATCGTTTATTATTGACATTCAAAAAAAAATTATTT